ACAAGCCGTGATGGCCAACCGTATGCATAGACAAGGTCTTGACGGACGTCCACGAAATGATTTGCTTCTATATTTGATGTGTTTCATTTATATTTCATATTTAGATATACATAATTAGATGTAGCTGATATACATGTATCTGGACACGCCGAATACATATATCTGAGGATCAAAATATGATACGAATGATAATATCAAAAAATTGGGGGAAAAACAAGTAATTGGCTACTAAACTAAACATAATTAGATGTGTAATATACATGTATCTGGACACGCCGAATACATATATCTGAGGATCAAAATATGATACGAATGATAATATCAAAAACTCGGGAGAAAACAAGTAATTGACTTCTAAACTAATTAGATTTGTGTTGTTTACCTTATAAACTTATAGTTTGAAACTGAATAAGATTAGGGACGAATTTGGTTGTTTAGGTATAAAATTTGTCAGGCCCATTGCAATAATGGGCTTCAAGCAGACTTGTGAAAAAAGTTTTGGCCCATTACAATGGTGGGCTTCAAACAGACTTGTACGATAAGCTCTGAAATTTGAAACTTTCATGGAGTATCAAATTTTACGAACGAAACTATTTGAAATTTAAAATTTTACGATAATAGCTATTTTTTAGTTACATAGAGTAAGAACAGACTATTTGTGAATATTATCCCGTTAGTAATAGGGCTTGCCTCCTCAATGAACCTTGCGTCGTACGATACTAAATAAATCGAGGCAGTTTATTTTAAATACTGATCGTTGAAAAATAATAATTAGATGTATTTATATTTTATTTTTCATGTGGTAAAGAATTAAGAGTATATTTTATTGTAATCTCACTTAAGTAAAAGTTGAGGAAAATCTAATTTTACTTTGGTTATAATCATAAATAGGAACAAAATTTATTTTCTTTTATACATTAATTTTCATAATTTGGTACTATAGAACATGTTAGAGTTTTGATATTATCTACATCAACTAATTTGCCAATAAAGTTCTATTTTAGAATGCTTCGATGTTGTCTAATAATTAACACGTTTAATATTTGTTGTATATAACCTTAGATATTTAATTAAAGAAACCTCAATAACGTGTGATGGAATTGCAATTATACTTGGAAAAACTACATACCCAAAATCTTCGACCCCTTTTTTTTCGATGTTGTTTAATAACATGTTAATCATTGTAGTAAGTACCACCACAGGTATAATTATCGTTAATTGTACAATAATAATTACCGAAAGATTTTAACTCGAAGAAAAAAGAATTAATTTAGCACATTCCTAGCTAGTTTCCTCAAATTTTGATCAACATTTTTCTTTTGACAACGAGACACATATATAATAAGTATTTTCACATTTTCTTATTTTTTCTAATCAGTTATTTCTAAAGACCGTCCTCTTAATAATTTTTTTTTAATAATTTTGTGAGTTTGATAGTAATTATTACTTGTTTTAAAGTCTCAAATAATCATTTAATGTTTACAAGTCTCTTCACGGGTGTTCCATAAAATCTTTGACATGATATCATGAAACTTTAATCTAATAATTAAATAAATGGAATATAAGAGAAACAATTTATTTTTTTGACTTGTAATTAATAAAGTTATTACAACCACTATTTTCTTCTCTCCTTTTTTCTTTAATTTTTCACTAAATAACATGCACCTTTTTTTTAAAAGTACTTTATTTTTCTTTTTTTATTTTGTTGCAGGTTGTGTTCTCATTTTCAACATCAATATGGTAACAATTTTAAAAATATTTTCTCAAAAAATCAAAACAACTAATTAGGAATATTATAGTTTTTGCTAGAAACATGTGTTGGATTGGATCATTTGAGTCCTTTGAGTGTTAATGTGCGATTCTTGTTTGAGTTTGAGCTATATCAACATTTCTCTACCTCATAATGTAGGAATATACATATTTTATTAAAAACACCGCACATTTCAAACAACTTTTATAATAATCAACTCTAAAATATACTGCAAACTTCACTCGTAAAATTATAGTATTATTATTATTGTTGTTTTAGCTAGAAACACACTTTTTATTGAATTACAATTTCAAACAAATTTTGTTTAACATTTTGTAGAAAAATACATGCGTTTATAATAGAATGATATTTTTTTTTAATTAAAGAATTAAACCACTCCCTAGCAAAAGGGGGGGAAAAAATACTTTTACACTCCCAAAGAGTTGCTGAATTTCATGCTTAATTATTATGGCCATGCATTTGTTATTTATTTTTATTTTTTTAAAAAGAAAAAAAAATAAGTTACACCATTCTATGATGAATAACATATAAACAAAAGATATTAATTATTAAAATGTCACAATATTTTTAAAAGATAATCAAAAACTCATATATACAAGAACAAATTAAACTAAGAGAAAGAAAAATAATTTTAAGAGAACATAAAAATCATGGCTCATATGTACATTGTTACATCTTCTTTGTACTATATAATAATTATATATGTATTAAAAAAAAACTCCACATGAGTAAAAAAAACAAAGAAATAAAATAAGGAATTGATCACTTTTATGATTATTTTTTTTTTAAGAAAAAAACTACAACCTTGTTTTGGGATCATTAATCTCATAACTAGCATTATTAGCTAGATGCCTCATAACATCAACTTGAACTCTTAATGAAATAATATAATCTAGGGTTTCTTTAATTAAAGAAGCATCATCCATGTATTCTCCACCAGGAACAAGACTTTTAAGAACTTTTGTTCTTTTTTTCACCATTTTTTTTGCAATAATATTTGGAGAAATAATTTTTCTTGCTCTTCTTGAAATTTTGCAACTCTTTTTAATAATCTTCTTGCTTCTAATAATTCCATTTTGAGACATAGAATTAATTCCCATTGAAGTTTTCTTCAAATTATTATTATTATTATTGTTATCATCATTTGATCCAAGAATATTTTTCATGATGATTTTGTTTGTATCATCTTTTAAAGCATTTTTCATGAGGGCATGGCTCCAATAAATTGTTGATTTTCTTGTTGAAGCCATTGCTATATCTGCTGATAATTTTATAGCTTTTTTTCTTTCCATTATACTCATATTTTTCTTTGTAGCATTACATATTTGAAGACCTTTTATCCATTTCTTGAGAAATTCTTGCTTGAGTGAATTAGGATTCCTCATTTCTTCAAACTACAAAAAAAATAAAAATAAATTAAGACATGTTAGGTTTATAACTATATAAAAAAAATTAAGACATGTTAGGTTTATAACTATAAAAAAAACCAATAAAAAAGAAGAATGAAATGAGTTAGAATTATAAAGATATTCTTCAAGCAAGGAAAAAAAATGACTACAAAAAACTACTTTGTTGTTAATCTGTCGTTAAATAACTCATAGCTACTAGATTTTTTTGATAATTCATCGCTGAATAGGATTAACAATATCAAGTAATTCTTAAAGTAAGAAAAAAAATTGAAATTAGCTAGGAACTTCATTGACAATTTGTCGTTAAATAGATTGTAGCTACTAGAATTTTTCAATTATTCATCGTTGAACAGGATTAACGAGGAATTTTATTGTGAATTTTCATAGTAGTGATATAAAGTCCCTCTAGTTTGATTTACATGTTCTTATTATATTTTGATGTTAGAACAAGAAAGATGAAATAGAAAGTAATGTCTATAAGCTATCTACATATGATAAGAACATGCAAGAAGAAAAATAGTAAATATGAACAATATATTATGACTATATATTATAATGTGTAATGAAAATTTGATAGACAAAAATGACATACCTTGGTGACTTTTCTTCTATTTTTCAAACAAAATTTTCAAAGAAACTAATATTGGAGGAACAAAAAATCAAAGAAGAAATGTGAAGAATGGGAATTTGAAGGAGAAGTTAAGTGATAAAAAAGCTAATTTATTGGGGTGGGGGTGGTGGGGGTGGGGGGGGGGTAACATGGGGTGGTGGGATGGTGGGCCAATGAGAGAAGGACATAGCACATGCTCTCACATGGAGGCCCATGGCCCACTAAGCAAATAAAACCCTAGAAAAGAGAGTGAGAATAATAATTATTATCCAAAAATCTTGGTTTAAGACACAATAAAAAGGTTCCCTAAATGCCATGCAAAACCTAACATTTGTAACTTAATTGGACTACAAAAGGACATTAACATAAATCCCCACATAATTATATTGCTCCATCAAGGGAAGAGAAAAAAGTTTAACCAAAAACAAAAATTACTTTTTCTCTTCTCTCTTTGTTTATTTTGAATAATTTCTTCAATCTAATATTATTCTATATAGCAACAAATAAAATTTCCAACATAAATTAATATCTATACTTAATCTCCTTCCTATGATTTTTCTCCTATTTAAGTGTGAAAAGATTATCTAATTGAAGTTTTTTTCCTTTTAATATTTCATTTTAAAATTTATTGACATGACTAATATAAATTTTCAACATAAACGAACGACCCAGTAAGAGTTTTAATTTTCAGCTTTTACTATTTTTTAATTCAAGGATCGAAAGTCCTTATTTTGTGATTTTCACTTGGAATTTTCGAGTCTCAACAGAATCTTTTCGTTAAAGGTGGAGAAATCATATCCGTCTGATCGAAAACAATATCTATAATTGAAGACTTAGTGGATAGAAAGTGAGGAGATAAGTGCTACAATATATACAAAGAAATTAAAAGTGAAGAAATTTTATTTTTAAGTAAATTAAACCATGTTGATGAATTGTTTGTTCTTTTGCTTTTAATTTTGTCATCCAATTTGACTAAAGAAACAAATGATTCAGCACAATCTAATCTAAATTCTTTTTTAAATTATATTCATGTTTGTTTCTATATAAAATTACAAATACATAATATATAATATAGGGACACTATAAAAAAACTTTTAAAACATGATTAGGGGCTAATGTGGGGTAAAGAGAAACATAAGCGTCATTAGCGGTCAACTATATTTATTTATTTTTTCTCTCTTCCCATGTTTCTTTATTTTAGGGAGAATTGCATTTTGATCCCTCGATTATAGATATAATTAAAATGTATGTTTTTGATCATTTTGTGTAGTCAATATGTTATTAATTAGATGTATGTCAATTGTAATTAAATATTTAAATGGTTGTTAATTCTGAAAATTTGTGAATATTAATAAGTAATCAAATTGGAAAAAAAATAAATGTTTCATATTGACCTTATAATGTAAAAGTTCTAATGCATATGAAAATTATTGCTAACCAACCATTTTTTTGTGAAGCAAATTAAATATGAATTTCATATATCTGATTTTCGATGATATTATATTCATGGTAAAATAGTGAATTAATTTGTAAATAACCTATTTTTACTTTATTTATTCAGTCTATGAGGAGAGGGTGGGGGTGGGGTGGGGTGGTGTTTTAATAATAATTTACCAGATAAAAGCAATAAATTAAGGTGAAATATGTGTTAATTAATTATAATTTAGTTATAACAATATATTTGAAGACACGTGTCATGTATTTATTAGATTGATATAAATATTAAAAGCAAATAAGTTTTAACCAATTAAAATTAGTATGTGTATTTTTATCTTCAATTATTTTTTGATTCTTTTATCATTTATTTGATATTTATATTAAAGTTCGATTAAATATAAATTCGTGTGTCGTATAATTTATTTCTAAGATGATACTTTCAATATAATTTATTTCATTTTCAAAAGCTCGAATCAGAAATCTCTGTTAAATTCGTTCCCAATATTCGAAGTATGCCTTTGATATTAAATGCAACATCCAAACACTATTTCTCTCTATGTCTCGTGTTAGATATGCATTTTTTATTATATACGGTATAAATTAATTAACTTTACTATTTTGCTTTTTGTTCATGTTAATTAACATTCTGAAAGAAAATTTTGAAACTTCATATAATTTGTTTAAACTTTCAAAAGTCATTTTTAATTATAGACGTAAAATAAGAAAAATTAATTAATTTTATCTTAATTTAGTAAACCATCTAGTAATATGGGATAAATAATTTTAATTAAATATCATCTAATATGGTAGTTTTTAGAAATTAGATACAAATGATTGATTTGGGGGTTATATGTAGTTAGAGAAAAAGTCAAATAATCTTAAATATAAATAAAGAAAAATGGAAGCAAGGGAGTACAAGTCTAACTATTAATAAATGTGTTTCACAAAAATGTCCTATATCAATATTTTTTAGTGCATGTACATTTTCATGAACACAATTAGTTTAGCAACAATTATAAACTATTTAACTATCAATATAATTAAAAAAAACATATAAAAAATAAAAAGAATGAAATAATAACAATAATAATAATAATAACTATATATGCAATGAGAAGCTCTAAGAAAGTACTACAAAAATCTTGAAATAAAAAATAATAGTATTTAATATATATTTATAAATTAAATTTAATGAGTTCAAAGTTTACAATATAATCAAAATATGAGTTTATATCTAATTCTTAATACTTATACTACTTTTCAAAAAAAAAATCACGTTACATATTCTACTCCAAGTCATCCTATGTGAGTAATAAATTCAATCAACACTGTTAATCCATAGAAAATAGATACACATGATTGATTTGAGGAATATGTAGTTAAATATTAAGTCAAAGAGCCTTAAATATAGCTTTAGTATCAAATTGTATTTTAAAAAATAATAATCAAACTTAGTGATAAATTTTATCATTAATTAACTATTAAATTATTCATAACTAACATAATTTCTTAAATAATTTATCTCTAAATAAAATTAAAGCGATAAAATTTGTTATTTCACTATAAAATTTATCTGTCGTTAATATTTTTTTATATATTTATATATACAATATGGATAATCACAAGAAGGAAAACTTGGCATGATCCACAAAACATGGTGAAGTTGGGGGTGGGGTGGATAGTGGGTCCCATTGCAATGAAAAGAAAATTCTTAAAGAGAGGCATAGGTTTTGGCTTTGGGAAGAAAGGAGAAAATCACTCACATGGTCTCCACATGGGGGATTTTAAAGTATGGTCTTGTGATGAGAGATAAGAGAATGTGAGGGTCTTTTTATCTTTTTTTTTTTTAATTTTTAGTACAAAATCTTCTTCAATGATTAGACATGTTTCATGCTTGGCATAAATCAACAAAAATTATTTTCCTAATTAATAATAATATAACATAATAGTAAGATTTGGAACAAAGGTTATTCATAATTATAAGATTGTGTGTATCATTAATTTCATATCAGTTTTCATGCATCTGAATTACTTTGTTGTGTATCTGTTATAATTATTACTATCTATAATAAAAACTTCATTTATCCATATTTAAATCGATGAAAATAAATTCCTAATTTCACCGCGATAAATTGTGTATCATGCATTTGACCATCGAAGATCTCTCTATTATTAAAAAGAAAAAAGTCATGGACGCATTAAACTATTGTTTAAAAACTTATGATAAGAAACAAGATAATTTAATAAAAATTTTGGTTTGGCAATTTGGTTTAATATTTCTCTTTAGCATAAAATGTTATCATAATCAAAGAAAAGTGTACAATAATGCCAATTTTAATTTTATGAAAAAAATTACATAAAGAAATTAAAAGAAAGTAACAAAAACAAAAACGTATTTAGGTTTATGGACTTTTTGAATTTGAATTGAACAATGTAGATAAGTCTAAGTCAACGAATTTGAAAATTTGACTAGAATAAGGTAATGTCCAAATATAATCTTATTCATTTTATTATTTTTTAAAAATTTATTATCAAATACTATTTGATTTGGAGTCAAATTAATTCGACTTCAGCGGAAACAACGATAAATAATTATTATTTTTTGGTTCAGGCAAAAAGAAAGCATTGTATCAGAGTTTCAAATTTCAAAATAAAATTCTAAGATACTTAATATTTACAGGTGAAATTTGAAAATTTATAAATGGTGACTATTCACCAATCACGCGAGCTAAAAAGGTAACTATTTGTGAATTTATCTTCGAATTTTATTTTTGAAAAAAATCTATTTTAGAGATAAAATATTTTCTATCAGAGGTAGATCTATAATTCATACGATCATATCATATGAATGCACTAATAAAAGAGAAAAAGTAAAAATTATTAGGCAATCGGATCTATGTATAAATAACTCAATATACAACTAAGTGCATTATTTAACCTCTTGAGAATATAAATATCAAAAAACAATATCGAAAAAATTCTAGAAAACACATAAATAAAACATGTAATCTAATTTAGAGGAAAGATCATGAATTCATATCAAAGGCTAGTCTCAAATTTTGAAATTGATCGCAATTCAATTTGGATAAGTTATTCAACATTTAATCGAGTGCATTCTTCAACCATTTTGGAACATGAAAGTAAACAAATAATTAACGAAGAAACTATAGATTCACGCGCATCACAATTTTTATACTAAATTCGCTCTTGGTTCACATGCACCGTAAAATAGGTTATAAGTTCATCTCTCCTCTGTATCAAAGACAACTATATTTTCAGGAACTCAAAGCCATAACCCTCTTCTTTTAATTTGAACTTTAGTTCTAATTTTTCATATAATATATTTAAAATTATTAAATTAAATAATATTTTAATATATTCTACATATCTTTCACCTAAATTTATAATATTTAATCTTTTTTTTTAAATTTAATAGGACATCAAAATCAGATAAATAAATTAATACGTAACACAAATTATATCTCAAACTCCCACATGGTGAGACAATAATGGGGTCCAACACAAGAAAGAAAAGGAATTAAAGAGCCCCCGTGATTTGCGGCTATCCTCACATGAACCCCTTTTAAGTCTTATTTTCTCTAAAATAGTTTTTTAAAATTAAACAATTTAATTATA